TAATTTTATGTATCAAAGCGTGTCGTTTTTGCAAAAGAAATAAAAAGAGAGTAATAATGCAGAAAAATTTGCATAGGAAGCAGAAAAGAAGAGAAGCAATAATGCAGTAACAAGCAAAACTGTTCCCTTGGCCCCGAGATCCTTCACCATAATAGCAGCAATCTCACTTATAAATGCAAATTTTATCTCCGTTTAAGCTCGTGTAATTACGGATTTTAATTAGAGATAGGACGGCACGAAGGCGGAGAGAGAGAGAGAGAATCACGCATAGAATTTGCGGAATTTCGCATTCCACGGTAACGCATTTGGATGATGATCAATAACCGAGCTCCCCCAGAAAAAAAATTGTTTTTAAACTGAAGAGTTGACAGGCAAATTGGTGGATTCCTTACATTTCAATTTGCAAAGTGCAATTACGTTGTTTACGTGCACCTTGCATGAACGCACATTTTGCGTTTGCTTTCTTTTCTTCGTTCGTTCGTAGTTTATTATAAATAATGATGTGCTCTTTCTTCGATTCTCTGAAATGCAAATGCACCCCGTTTACGTGCACGTGAAGGTGTGCTTTTTGTTCGTGCTGACGCGTGGGGCGAAAATGCCGCCCCCCCTCGACGGCTTTATCGATCTAGTTGGTTTGGGGCGGGGGGGCGGCTTTGAGGGGCGCTCGAACCTTGGGAAACGTTTTGTGTCCGTCGCGACAAACTATCACATACACACTCACTCACATGAAATTCTGCTGTAAACAAACTGAAATTATAATGGGATTGGATATAATAACGTACGTAACGTGTATTGACCGGTTTGCAAGTCTAAACCTGACCCATCTATTATACAAGTCTCCTACTTGCCTACGCTACACGCACATCATTATTGTCTCTACGCTTGAAGGGTTCCTAAAACGTGCAAAAACAAAGTTAATGTTCGTAAAGACTGAGTTCTAATTACATGCTCATTATATTTTGCAGAATACAACTCAAGTTAATAATTATGAGGTACTTGTCAAGTAACATGTACAAGTAGTACCAACAAAGGCATTGTTTACTACTTTTGAATAGTTAATACAAACAAATAATGGTTACATTTAGCAACTCGACTATATCATTAAGTGTATATACTTGCTATTCAACAAGTAATACCACACACGGCATTATTTACTAGTTTTAATCACTACTTTTCCACAACTTTATTTTATCGTTAAGAATTGTATCATACTTTCCAAGTAGCATATACAAGTATTACCAAAAGCCATTGTTTACTGGCTTTGAAGGCTTCATCATTAACCATCGCATGATACTTGCCAAGTAATATGTACATGTACTACAAAAGAAAGACATTTTTTTTCTAATTTTGAAAGACTGATCATAAAGTCTGTGTTTTAATTACATGCTCATTACAATTTGCAGAATACAACTCAAGTTAATAATTAAGAGCTACTTGTCAAGTAACATGTACAAATACTACCAGCGAAGGCATTGTTTACTACTTTTGATTGGTTAATACAAACAAATAATGGTTACATTTAGCAACTCGACTATATCATTAAGTGTAATTACTTGCAATTCAACAAGTAATACCACAAAGGGCATTATTTACTAGTTTTGATTAACTACTTTTCCACGACTTTATTTTATCGTTAATAATTGTATCATACTTGCCAAGTAGCATGTACAAGTACTAGCAAAACCCATTATTTACTGGCTTTGAAGGCTTCATCATTAAGCATCGCATGACATTTGCCAAGTAATATGTACAAGTACTACAAAAGAAAGACATTTTTTCCTAACTTTGAAGGACTGATCATAAAGTTCGTGTTCTAATTACATGCTCATCACAATTTACAGAATACAAATCAAGTTAAAATTAACAGGTACTTGTCAAGTAACATGTACAAGTACTAATAAAGCAAAGGCATTGTTTACTACTTTTGAATTGTTAATACAAACAAATAATGGTTACATTTAGCAACGCGACTATATCATTAAGTGTATGCACTTGCTTATTCAACAAGTAATACCACAAAGAGCATTATTTACTAGTTTTGATAACTACTTTTGCATAACTTTATTTTATCATTAAGAATTGTATTATACTTGCCAAGTAGCATGTACAAGTATTAATAAAACCAATTGTTTACTGGCTTTGAAGGCTTCATCATTAAGCGAAGTAATATGTACAAGTACTACCAAAGAAAGATATTTTTTCCTAACTTTCTGATACAAATAATGCAAAGTTTAACAATTTTTGATCACTGTTTGTTCGTTAAACAAAGTTAATGTTCATAAAGACTGAGTTCTAATTACATGCTCATTACAATTTGCAGAATACAACTCAAGTTAATAATTAACAGGTACTTGTCAAGTAACATGTACAAGTACTGCCAGCGAAGGCATTATTTACTACTTTTGAATGGTTAATACAAACAAATAAAGGTTAGATTTAGCAACTCGACTATATCATTAAGTATTTACAGTACTTGCCATGTAACAAGTAAAACCACAAACGGCATTATTTACTAGTTTTGATAACTACTTTTGCACAACTTTATTTTATTATTAAGAATTGTAACATACTTGCCAAGTAGCGTGTACAAGTACTAACAAAACCCATTGTTTACTGGCTTTGAAGGCTTCATCATTAAGACAAGTAATATGTATAAGTACTACAAAAGAAAGACATTTTTTCTAACTTTGAAGGTCTAATACAAAAAAAAAATGCAAAGTTTAACAATTTTTAATCACTGTTTGTTCGTACAAGTACAAAATATCTACATTAAATTGAAAGCTTTTGTATGTTTTCTATGAAATTGTACATGAAAATGTAAAATCAATTGAATATTTAATTAATTTCCTTTGTTGTGAAATGCGTTAATTTCATTTCAATTGTTACTTTTTATATTTACAAGCAAATTAATTTTTAATTATAATTAATTAAGTTATTTTTATAAAAACAATTAAATTAAACAATTAAAAACAAAAGTAATTAACGTATTTCTTTTTTTATCGACTCATTTGCGTAACAATTTTGCAATTAATTAACGAATCAAGAAATAAACGTTCACGAACGTAAATTGATGTTGTTATGCAGCGTTCTTTTTAACATGTACATATAAAAAAAAGTACGTTATTATTGTAATTATTTCCAGGAATGCTGGAAACGCATAAAAATTGGAATTGATGTGCAAAAGAAAATAGATTTTAATTGCACAGAAATCGTAATAATTGAGGCTGCCTGCGTCTAGGAATCATAATTACGGCCGTATTTAATGAAGCGTCCTCAGATCTAGTAGGTCCGATGCAGATGGCGGAATTTAATTTATTACGTGTTCTCGGTTGTAATTGCGCCCCGCTTTTCGAAAACGGGAATACGCAAACATTGTTTCCTGAAACCCACTGAAGCAGAATCGAAGTGTGCACCGCGCGCCGTTCGACATACATGTCTGCTTTAATTTAATACGAGTTTTATCGTTGATTTATGTAATTTCGTAATTTAGCTTGAAGCAATTTGCTGTTTAAATTAGTCTTTACGTTTCAGAATATTATTCGTAGACTATTCAGAGTAAGATGAACATTGGATATGCTAAAACTACGAGCTTTGTTATAAGTATAATATCTTAATCGTGGTGTTTATCAGTTGGATGTTGTGGGGATTGTAGCGAGTATTCAAACATTCGCTGTCAAAGTTGAAGAAATGAAAAATTAACAGTCGAAAAATTTCTTATTTTTGCAATCTTCTCGGAAACTATAATAGAATGAACAGAACCAAAACATGCATATGAAAGTTGGATGTTTGGGAAATGTAGCGAGTATTCATATAATACTGTGGTTACATCGATTTGCCTGTTATTCGCGTTAAAAGTTGGAAAAAAGCAGTGAAAAAAGCAGAGTAAATCAATGAAATGTGAAAACAATGCTTTTTCGAACGTTTTAATTTCAATTTTTCAATTTGAACGCGTATTACAGCAATATGGATAAGACACAGGAATGATCTATACTTGCTGGATTCCCCAAAATTCAGCTTTCATAGCATACTTTTGGATTCATTCTATCTATTATAGTTTTCGAGAAAATCAATGAAATGTGAAAACACTGCTTTTTCGAGCATTTTTAAATTTTGAACACGAATTACACCCAAACGGCTGAAACCACAGTAATATATCGATACATTTAGATTCCCCAAACATTCAGTTTTCATATGCATCTTTTGGATTCATTCTATGTATTATAGTTTTCGAGTAAATCAATGAAATGTGAAAACACTGTTTTTTCGAACGGTTTTTCAAATTTGAACGCGTATTAAGCAATATGGATAAGAGCACAGGAATTGTATCTATACTTGCTGCATTCCCAAACATTCAGCTTTCATATGCATATATTGGATTCATTCTATCTATTATAGTTTTCGAGTAAATCAATGAAATGTGAAAACACTGCTTTTTCGAACGTTCTAATTTCAATTTTTCAACTTTGAACGCGTATTACAGCAATATGGATAAGAGCACTGTTTTTAGTGTTTTCACTTTTATTTACATAATTATAACTATGATAACCTTAATTTTATTTAATAAACGTTTGTTTTTGTTCAAATGGATTTTAACGTTGTTTCGAATTGGAATACATTTATATAAGTCAGTGGAAGAAATTCTTTACGTAAATCTAATGGCACTGCCATGGCCAACTGTTATACAGACATGTCTTCGTTAAAATGCCACCGGTTCAGACACTGCAGAAATTCAATTACAATTTACGTTGAAAGCAACAGCGATGTGTGCTAAAAGGGGATCGAACGCAAGCAAAACTTGTTGCATAACGCGAAAGGGATGATGAGGACGAAAAGGGCGACGTGGATGTGGGCCGCGCGAATTATCCCATTAATTCCTTCTCCTCCTCCTCTCTCTTTCCACTCGCTCAGAATTGCATCATTCGCTCAATTAACAATCCGCTTTGTTTTGCGTCTGTGCGCTCCTCTTTATTTTCAGATATGTCCGCTGCTTCTGGCTCTGTAATTCCCATTGCGTCGCCATCAGCCTGAAAACAAGCCATGACGACGATCGTCGAGCTCGAAAGTTGGGTGATCTATCAATGCATTGTCACCGAATGCAGCGACTGTCTCTGTAAGTGCATTCAACGACAAATTTGAACGGTCAACGTTCATTCATTTTGTATTTTTTTCGTTTCGTTTCTGAAGAGCACCGTAGGAAATTTATATACATACACACAACTCGCTTACCACCACAGATTATTGCTAAATTAGTCACGAGCATGACTCAATGCAATTCACCTTCCACACTTTATTTACGTATTGCTATTTTGATTATACCATGATATTCGTTTTATTTTATTTATTTATTTTTTTACTTCATGTTTCTCTTTATTCTTTGTAGGAGCAGCATCCCAATTTTAAGTTGCTTTCATTTTGTTGTAAATCACCCAACCCCCAATTAAATCCACTTAGCCAGTTACAAATGTTGGAACCAGGTATGTTCGATTTTTATCTTTCAGTTTCTTCATCTAACCTTATTAATACAATTATGCACACTAACACTAGCCATAAATATCAATTGATTATTTAGAATCAAGTTCGCTTGAAGATTTAGTTGATGTATGATGTATTTGCTTCTTTTCTTTTACATAAATTACATAATTATTAGTTTTGTTTTTAAGTAAATTTTATTTATAGAAATATTTGATTTACGATTTATAACTTTTTGTCTAAATATTGGGTGAAGTAAAAAGTTCTCAGCCTTTTTTTCTCTTTGTTTCGACGATGAAATTAACAAAGTTACAATTTTCGGATTTAGTTCAAACCTTCGATAACTTTTGTCCATTTTGATGGCAAACTTGATCAGCTCATTTTCACAAGTCTCTCTTGAGGCCAGTTTTTTTACCATCAAGAAAATTTTGCAAATGCTTGAAAAGGTGATAATCGCTTGGTGCCAGGTCTTCAAACTCTTGGAGCTTCTGGCGCGTCTTTAAAGATGTGTATTGGCCAATTTTGGATGCTTCTCTTCTTAGGATCAGCCTTATACAAATGGTTCCAAACTGTTTTCTGGCTAATCTTCAGTTCCTGGACAATGGAAAAACTGCTCTCATATCGATCTGACTCAAAGATTTTCATGATTTTATCAACATTTTTGACCATAGCTTGTCTCATCTTCGACGTCCATATTATCAGAACGGAAGCGTTGGAGCCAATGCTTTGCTGTTGAATTCTACACTGCATTGGGTCCAGAAACAACACATTTTTTTTGGCCGCCTGCTCCGCTTTTTTCCTTGATCGTAGTGGTACAGAAGAATGTATTGAATTTTCTCTTTTTTTACCTCTATTTTGGAACGCTTTAACACCCAACTGGATTCACAAAATACAAAAGTGTTAAAGAACTTTTTTTAAAGCGTTATATCGTCATTAAGTCGCAGTATAGAATTGCAAGATGCAACGTATACATCGTGAGATATGGCTCACTAAAGCCATCTAACGAAAAACGCTTAGAACTTTTTACTTCACCCAATAAATCACTTAAGTATTTAGTTTAGTTTATTTTTTTTTGTATATAAATCATACAAAATCATAAATAAATAGAGCAATTAACAAATTAATTACTTGTAAAAATAAATATTCAATTTAAATTGAAATAGAGAAACCCAAAAACAATATTAATTAACATTTTATAGCAGTTACACTTGAAACATATGTAATTTTCTTCCTTACACATTATTTCAGTATTATTCTTTTGTAATGTAATGTGGGAATTTGTTAAGAGAAATTGCATTTTTTTACTTTAATAAATCGTCTACTTCAATTCATTAACGTATTCACATCAAAGTACAATTTATTAAGTTGTAGAAATCTTCAAGTAGAGAACTCGACAATCAGAAATGTCCAGTGTTTTACTTATTAAACTTACTTTTACTATAGTTCTGTTAAATTACAGGTATCCCCGACTTACGAACTAGTTCCGTTCCAAAGAGTTAATCGTAGGTCGGGGAAATTTTAAAAATTTCAAAATATACTTAATTTAACACACTTTAAGTGCATAAATTTGAAAAAAAAAGTAGATTAAAATGCAACAAAATACTTACTTACAAATACTTTTCAATGTAGACATCACAATTATTTAATAAATAAAAACGACAAAAGAAACAAATTCAACAAAATTATTGTACTTTATTAAAGAAATTATCAATTTTTGTTTGGACAGTTAATTTGTATCTCCTTGTAACAAGTTAGAGCTTTTACAATTTTGTTCGTAAGTCCGGGAATTTGTAAGTAATTTAAAAGAAAATTAATTTGAAAGAAAGTATTAGAAAAATCTCATAAAAGAAAACGTTTTCATAGAAATTTATGTTATGTATTTTAATTACAATTTTGGATTTTTTTTTATCAAATAACGAGAATTGCAGCAATTAAAGTTGTTTGATCATTAGAAAAAGAGAGAGAGAGAAAGAACGTTAGTTCAAGGATAAATAGAATCATATGTGTGTTCGAGCATTCATTGCAACAACAATGCGAAAACTCGTTTCGAATTTGCTGATTATCTGCATGTCTCATACACAACACAATCTATGAAGAATGTGGTGGATCCCGTGTTCAATTCATTTGGATATCGCGGTATTAAGTTTCCTGCAAGTAATTGTTATGCTAAATCTAAACTTGCTGCAAAGTTTTACTAAGATTTATTTGTAATCGCATTTAGCTGATTTACATATCCATTGAAAGAGTTCGTATTAATTTAAGTAACATGTAAAGACTTTGAAGCAAATCAGGTTTTATTTAACTAAAATAAACTTTTTCTTTTTGTATTCAAATACAATACATTTAATAAGTACATGATCTGAATATAAATGTATTAAATTGTGAGCTTATTTAATAATTAGTTAAGTAATTTGGAAGAAAGTAACATACAGTGGAATCTCACTTAACGAAGAGAAGTCCTGGATTTGAATATGTAAGCAACTGTATATGAATTTACTTGTAATTGCTCTATTCATGTAGTGAACGTAGTTTCTAGCGGGGAATACTTTTGTTGTTTAATATTTGTTTATCAAAAGGAAATGCTTCCGTCGTTATCGAAACTTTAATGCATGAAACGGTTTTAGTTTTCATTTTTGAGGACAATGCCTCTTGCGCTTTGAGCTGGGAAGCATCTCTTCAGACGAAGAGTAAATAAACAAACTTGGTTTTGGCTTCTCGAGGGTAGACTTCGAGGCCATTAGCTCCTCGTTCCAACGCCATTACCGAACCGTAAATATATTGTTGTGGGGTTTTTTCTATTATCAATTGGGTAAACATTTATTAATCATCATCGGCGCGTACATCTTATCAGCATTCCCGAGACGTTATCGAGTCGAATTCGTACGGTCATTGCATCAATTAGTGAATGTCAGTGTTCTGTTTCGGATTGCAGTCATGAGCGAAAGTGCATTCAGGGCTCGCGACATCGGACTCCGCGCCCAGAAGAAGATCTTGTCGCGGATGGCCAACAAGAACTTCGCCAAAGCCTTCATCGACGACAACACCTCGACGCTTCTGGATAATCTCTACAGATTGGTGAAGCAATACGTAAGTTACAGTTGTTGTTATTGTTATTGTTTTGTGTTGCTGATTTTGTTGTTTGTTGTTTGTTTAGTCGAACAACAAGAAGGAAGCGGAGAAGCTCATCAAGAACATCATCAAAGTTGTGATCAAGATCGCGGTGATAGGGAAGAACGAGCAGTTCAGCAACGACGAGGTGATGCTGGCGGAGGACTTCAAGAAGAAGTTTCACAAGGTCGGAATGGCGATAGTGTCGTTTTACGAAGTAGATTACAGCTACGATCAGAAGTTCCTCGTATCCGTACTGAACGACTCACACACGTGCCTTAATGCGATCGTTTCGAAACACTTGACGGACAAATCGATATCGCGCATCGACAGTGTGTTCAACTTCTTCACGAACGAGCAGTTCCTGGACACCATCTTCAAACCGGACTCGGAGTACCGGGACATCCTCGGCCGTCTCGTCACCGACCTGAACAGGGCGATGGAAAAGGGAGATCTTTAGTGATAGAGAAACAAAACGAGAAATACGCTTACCAAAAATTTTAAAGAAATCATTACTTTACGTTATTACTATTATCTAACAAAAGAAAAGAAGGAAACCGTTTTAGAACTATTATTATTATTATTAAGTTTGTTATTCGTTGACTTTCGGTGTGAATGTTGAGTGTTTATATTAGTTTTATTGTTTTCGGGGGGGTCCAAATTTCTTTATTTGTATCGAGGATGTACTTAATAATCCAAACATATCTTTTAGTTACATATGATGAGCATAAATTAAGCGAACGCCTTATGGAAGTGAAAATACTGAAGCAACAGTAATAATTTATATATATACAATTTATGTATTTACAATTGCAAAGAAAAAAAAAACATGATTACAAACGAACAAATCACAAATCAGATCAAATATTCTAAATCTAAAATACTCGATTATTTATATGTATTGAACGCTTCACAGGGTTTTTTATAAATAAATATATATATTATATTATATAGACAACAAAAAGAGAAAGAATAAAGACGAATGTAATCAGTCAATACTCGAAGATTTTTCTTTTAAAATTGATGTTAAGAAAATGAAAATGAGTGAAATGATAAATGGAATAAACTGTTTTAGATATATTAGCGACAATAATGAAAAATCTGTCCTAAAAGCAGCCGCAGCCATGTGGATAATGCAAGAAAAAAAAATGTTTTCGGTCGCGTCTGCCCTTGTTGTTTCAGTTTGTTATACACACACACACACTCACAGACACCAGTGTTTCTTCAAATTGTTTAAAATAGAAAGAACACGTTTCAGATTCCCACCGAGAAAGCGCTTTTTTTTGCAGTAGTTGCATTTAATAAACATAAACTGAAGCCCCCAAAATGTACGTGTCGTAACGGGCAGACGCGTATGTGTATGTGAACTAGTCAAGTGTACAAGTGTTCATTAAACTGTAGTTACATAATTTAAGGAGCGAAAAAATGATGTTCGTTCACTTGCGAGAGTGGAAGAGAGTAAACAATTATTTATTTATACATATATTAGCAATACGATGTACACGCAATTTACAAAATAATGTAAAGATTATGTGAACAAACGAAAATTTGTATGTGGAATTTCCGAGTGCGGGGAAATCTTCGTGTGAATATATCACTTTACGGGCACAATTTACTGTAAATTTCGAAATTTTCAAAAAAAAGACGCAAAAATTATTATGTAACGTTGCATTCATTTGAAGCTCTAAAGAATTATAAAAGAAATATATATATATATTAATGAATATGTATATCCACCATATTTTTGTTATTCTAAATTAGTTTGTAGGTGAACCGTTAAATTATTTGTAAATTAAAACAAGAAAAAAACAACAATAAATAAATATATATACTATATGAAATGTGACATGCCTAAAAGTTTATTGTAATTAATCCCTCTTCCCCGTCTCTCCCAACGGTACTATTATTATGTAACGTTAATTTTATGCTTTTATGCAGAGTGTATAGGAAATGAGATCATAGCGTAATTATTCTTGACGTTCGACTTTCAACAATGAATTTCTTTCGATTCATTTCTTTTGATTCATTTTCTATCACTAATAGCGATATTTATACTCTAATTCAGTGCTCTATTCTCACCCACGGCACAACAGAGTTGTTGCTAGAATTCCAATAGATAAAAGTACAGTCGAACCTCGCTTAACGAGTTTAATTCGTTCCAAAATTTCCGGATTTTTACTTTTATAGTGAAACACGTTTTCCCATATCTTCATGATTTTGCTTTGTCGTGTCCCGGGATTCAAATATCTCTGGACACTGTGGATTATCTCGTAGTTATGTCATTGTGGAGTCCTAGTAGAGTTTTTAAGGAAAGCTAGAGGTGAAGTTGGAGTTTTTATGATAATAAACACTTTATTATTCTCTATAAGATTATTAATAACTTCTAATGTCTAGATTCCAGTTACTAGATTTGTTACTAGGGTTGTTATGAGTCTACCTAGGACTCGGGACTAAAACTAACTTGGACTAGCGACTAACTAGGACTAGGACTTGGACTCTTTATGATTCTCTTGTATTACATATTATATAGTATTGGTTTAACATAATGGGAGTACAATATTTGGTAAAAGAAGATATTACTTAACTTTCCCTAATAATTAAGTGATTAGGCAGATGTGTCTAGCTACTAGTGGTCATTCTTGATTGGACCTTGAACCTTTGAGTTTGTGCACAGCAAGTTGATTAACAATAGTGATTAAGAATAGTCGTTACATAATGATTAGTTATGGTATCTTTCTAAGTAGTATTTGTACTAAGTCATAATGACTAATTTACATTCACATCTATAAAATAATAAGGGCTAACATAATATAGACAATAACGGTTATACATATCTAAATTTTTTTCATATCTAAATTTTGCACAAGAAAAACACACAAATAACATGTCTGAACGTAAGTTTGGAAAAATTGTGATCAGAAACAACACTAAGATGCAACAAGAATGATCACTAACACTAGGAACTGTTTTCCAATTCACACAGTGATGAAGTGAGTTTATATTTGTTTATATTATTTGTATCAATTCAGGGACTTGTTGGAAGTCTCTTTATACTTTTAATATTTGTTTATATAAAAAAGCGTACTTAGTGTGTTTTTATACTATAATAATGGTTGGACAGAATACATTTGTGTTTTGCATTTACAGCAAACACAAATTATATTTGCAAAGTATAGTCCGCTTTAAACAAAGATGATAAAGCAAATTGAAGATGGTTAAGATATTCAAAAATACACTAAGATGTGTGCACAAGTTTTAAAAATGATGTAGACTTCTCTTCTCATTGTCACTCGTTATGCGAAACGTCGCTCGTTAAGCGAGTCATTTTTCGTTAGTTAATTTTGCTCGTTAAACGAAATGCTCGTTATGCGAGGTTCCACTGTATCTAAATTGTCTTGGAAAGGACCACAAGAGTACAAATTATTATAATAAACTTGTTTAAAACCAATTGAATTATTGAATTCCTACAACTTAGACTTCACAACGACATCACCAAAACAATATTCTACTGTGTCCAGAATTCCGTCCCTGAGACACGACACTGTAATTATTCCAAATTATTAAAACTATTTATAAATATGTAACAATTTGCTAGAAAATGTCGATTATGAGAGGAAACTAAAATGATTATAAGTAGAAATGTAAAAACCTGATATTTTTATATAGTTTTGTAAATGCAAAGTGAAGAGAAAGATTAAATTTGAAACGT